ATCCTTCTGCTATATGCATCCATTAAAATGTTATAAGTGGCTGATGTGGGTGATATTCCTTTCATCTTCATCTCAGCCAACAGACCCTCAGCTTCTTCAATTTGGTTTGATTTACTATAAGCATCCATTATAGTATTATATACAATAGCATTTGAAGAGATCCCCCTTTTCTCCATTTCAGATTGGATAATTAGGGCTTCCCTCTTAAGCCCCTCATCACAAAATGATTTAACCAAAGCACCTACGGCTTCAAGACTCCACATGGCCCCTTTCTTATTCATTTTTTCAAAGATCTGCCAGGCTTCCTTGGCAGTGCTTCCCATTTTCCTCATTACTGTAATAAGTATGGAACAGGTCACACGATCCGGTTGAACATTATTCGTTTGCATCATCTCATAGACTCCCCAGGCATCATTGTACCTATGATTAAACCAAGAGAAAGTCCAACTCAGTTTCTAGGGATGGTCTAACATAAGTCACTAGGTTAAAACGCCATATGCAAGAAACTGCTCAGCTGAGTGCTGATGTTACTTGCATTCCACAAATGCAAAGTTTTTGTTTAAATAAAATGTAGATAAATTAGTAAATGCAGCAAAAATGTCACTAAGAAAACTAAATAAAAAATAATGGGATTTTGCCTAAGTTAACCGCATGATACAGTGCACAGCAGAAATGCAATAGAAATATTACCGATGAGAGCTCAAAAGCCCGGAAATAGCAGCATTATAAATATGAACATTCCTGAATGGCTTGTGATTTGGCAAGCTTCTGAATAGAAGTATTAACTCATTGCCCATCCCAGCCCTCCCAAGTATTGGAAACAGAACTGTACATGCCCGAGGCGTAAGGAGTGAAGGCTCATTCAACCTCATCCATTCAAAAAAGTATAGGCAGCCCTTGAGCAAACCCTTTTCTCCCAGAAGCCCCAACACCTCCACGCACTCCTTCTCCCCAATCCTCCCTTCAAACTCCCTTAAAACCTCCCCAAATGTCACATTTTCCGGTAAACTCCTAGCCTTTTCCAGAATTTCACCAACAACTCCCCCAACTTTTGTAATAGGAAGGTCAGTTTGGAGTTTCTCAATTTCATCATTATCTTCTTCTTCTTCTTCTTCTTCTTCTTCTTCTTCTTCTTCTTCTTCTCCTCCCCCTCCTCCTCCTTTTTCTTCATTTTCTATAGTTGAACCAATGCTTGGAGAAAGGTGCCAAGAGGTTTTGCGATTCTTACTGAGAGAGAACTTGCCATGATGATCCGCATCAGGAACTGAGTCCGGATTCTCTACCCGTGTCTTGAAGAAATTCATAATTGGGTCATTTATTTTTGAGATTAACCTTTCTTCTTCCTCTTCCTCTTCCTCTTCCTCTTCTTTTTCTTCTTCTTCTTCTTCATCTACATCTTCATCTTCTTCTTCTAGGAGAAAATGAAGAAAAATAGAGGATGTTGAAGAGCCATTCACACATGCCTGCAAGCAGTACTTAAAATCATGACAATTCGGAAGATAGAATGAAGATAGAAGGTGATAAGTGAGGCACATTGGGGTCCTTTTCCATTTGTTCATTTTATAATTGTTTATACAAACAAAACCCAGAGATAAAATGCTCAAAAGTCTGAAAACAAGCACTGAAGCAGTAATACGATAAAGATATTTTAACAAAACAACAGCTACAGGCTTACAGCATACAGTGACACAGATCTACAGAAGAGCTTGCAAAAAGTCTAGATTTCAACATGTGATTTTATTTGTAGGCATGACCCGTAGTGTGTAGAGATTAAGGTTCAGTGCAGACAGCTTTTTGCACATTTATAAGGATACAGATGGTAACCTGGTGAGGAATTTTTCTTAGACAAAAAATAATTGTAGTGTTACCTCTGTGAACAAGCTCAAATCACCTTCATCTTTTTACTCTATCATCATACTAGAAATCCTATTCATTGGGATTTTCTTTTTCTACATAATATAAAAGGCAGAGAGATCATTTCTTCACACACTAATCATTTCCATATATTTCCTCAGGTTATAGTTTGGGCATTAGGCAGGTAAGAGATGTTTAGCTATAGAGCTTTCCTAACCAGTTTAGAACATCAAGGTTTCTCCTAGGCTGCCCCTGTTAAGCTCAAAGATTTCATTTGGTGCTTAGTCAATGGCAGATTGATGCCCATAACCCTCAGGCTCACTCAAATATAATATATTTGTTAGGATCAAACGCTTACCACTACGCCAAAAGCAAGCTAAAGCTACTAGCGAAAGCACAACTTTAATTCCTACTGCCATCACATTTTCGAGAGGCAGGGTGTTGGACTTGACCCTTTACCGACCTCTGCCCAACAATCCCCTAACCACCAATTGGCCCATTACCGGCCTCCACCTAACCTGGCTCTAACACTACTACGAGCTATAGCCAGTAGAGAAGGCTAACTTTATTTCCTTATACCACCATCACATTTTCGAGAGGCATGTACTGGACTTGGCCCTTTCTTGTTAATCTCAACAATATTCAGTGGCAGTTTTTCTGAATTATGATGAAACAATTACATTTGTTCTTCTTTTGAGGGAAGAAAATTATTGGGGAATTTTGCAATATCCACAAATCCACAATCACATAAAGCATTATCTCAAAAACGAATATGTCAAAGAGATTTTCAAGAGAAGTGCCATTGAACAAGAAATGTACCAGAGCATCCCCTCTTTTTCTAGCAGCACCAATCTCTTCTATTTGCTTCAACTCTAGCATTTTTACTCCAATTTTGTGCTGAAACTACAAAATGAGAAAAATAACCATTTCAGCACACAAACAGTTGAAACGCATATTTAACTAAAAACAAGACAAACAAGACCTTTGCGATTGAAGCTCCGGACATGGGAGAAAACCTTGGCGCTAAAAGTGCGACGCAACTGGCTGAACCAGAGAGCCGCGACCTTCGTTGCTGTCGTCGAGGATAGCTTCTGAGAAGAGAAAGGTTTGGAAGTCCATAGCCAAGGCCAAGAGCTTCCATTGTTGGTTGTTAAGCAGTGCTCCTCACGCGCCGTCACCACCTACAACCACTACCTTCTTCATATCCTGACGGAGCACCAATCACAATCGAAGATAAGAGTTAGCTACACGAAGTCATATAATCCTGTTTTAGTGCAAATTTGTCGAGGAAAAATTATGAAATATATAAATATATTGAATGTTTATTTTTAAGAAAATATAATTTTAGTCCTTAACTTTTCATCATTACAATATATAATTTTGACTCTTCAAAGAAATTGTATTTTTAATTTTTTTTTTTAATGTTATTGACTCTATTACATTGCAGTATTGTTCAAACGTCTTTCTCAACCTAATGAATCTCATGACTTCTCACATGGGAGAAGTCACTATATGAGTATATGTCATCTGAGCACAAGATACTTGTCAAAATTTTATTACTTTTATTCTTTATAACATTGTCAATTTTGGTATTTCATCTGCAAAATAGAGATTTTGTTAACATTTTTTGTTAAAATTTTCCTTTTCAATTGTGATACATCGTCCTTATTTTTCTTACATGACCCTGTTAAAATCATACTTTTTATTGTACTAATTAAATATTGAGACTAAACAAAATTATAATTAAAGAAGAAATATTAAAAAGTAATAAAATATCCATGTACTAAAACTGAAAGTTTTTTAAAAAGTTATGAGTGTATATTACAACGGTAAAAGTTAGAGACTAAAACCGCTAACAAGGAACAATTGAAAGACTAAAATTACATTTTTTTTCCATATTTTTAATATATTGGTACTACATTTAATATATTAAAAATATTTATCAATAGTTTAATGCGATAATGAGTCATAATATAATTTATTTTAGTTAGCTTGGTAACAATAGTGTTTCGAATTCGAATGTTTAGAGCTATTTATTTGTTTTCTCGATTTGAATCCATAAATTATAAATAACTTAAATTAATTTGCTTCGCTAAAGTCAATTGGCGAATTTCATCTACATCGTACCTTTAGTAGAGGCTTTGAGCTTTCTTTATGGTAAATTAAAGTTAAAACTCTAGTTCAATATATGTTTGTAGTTAATTACGTAATTTATTGATTTGATGTTTTTTGTTGATTTGATATTTTTTTGATGGTACATACTACATATATATGATGTACTAGAGATTAGAGAAGGCTGGGATTATCCTGCCAATGTTTCATTTGCAAAATGATGATCATTTTTACTTCTTTTTTTTTGTTCTTATGAACATGATTTGCAAATTTGCAAACCCTATACTGCGGCAGTTTTTGTACTTATTTTATTTATTTATTTTTACTTTATAATATTTTAATATAATTAATATAAATTAATAATATTATTTTAATATATTGGGACCTACTTTTGAAAGTCAATTGGATTTGCAGGGATGTGGTGTAAATAGTAAATAATTTGCAAATTATGTGATGTGGAAGTGAGATCCATTTTTAAAAGTGAGAGAGATTTACAGGAATAAGGATAGCTTAAGGTACCCTTCTGAAACTAGCTATAAAGTATGACACTAAATAATAAAAAACTACTAATAACTAGAGAATGATAGTTTAAAGAAAAGGCATAATAAGATTACTACTAATAACCAGAGAATGATAGTTTAAAGAAAAGGCATAATAAGATTTTAAGAGAACAAATGAGATATTACTCCGGAGTAATTCATAACAGATAAAGGTTGCAGGGAATTGAAAGAAGAAACTTGGGACAACTCAGTCAAGATGACTAAAGATACAAACTTGTAACAAGAAGATTACAAATTTGAATTCTAGCTTTCATGGTTTGAGCCAGTCAGACCCAGTGTACACTCTTGAGGTAGTGGCTGCAGGTTTCCCTTAAACCCTTTACCGACTAGAATCACAAAGCAGAATTTACTCAATGCACACCCTCAGATAATGGCTGCAAATTTCCCTTGTCACCCCGTAAGAAGAAAATGACTATAGCTTATCAGTTGAGTAATGTGAAGGACAGTGCATTAAGTAAAGATCAAAGTAAGGTATAAAAGAAAAGAACCCTTTAAATAAAGGCATTGTCAAGGTCTTATTAATTTTTCCATTAGTCTATAAACAACATGATTTTCAGCAGGGTCATGGCAAATAGAAGCTAGTAATGACAGCCAAACTGAAGGTTCTGGTATCTTAGCTTGACTAATCATCTCCTCTAACAATACAATTGCTTTGTGTAAGTCATCTACCAAGCAAAGACCTGGGATAAGAGCATTAAAAGTTTCAACTCTAGGCCAATAGGAATTATTCAACATTTGCTCCATCACCATACTTGCTTTTGCATACCTACCCTCATGGCATAGCCCATCCACTAAATTCTCATAAGTTTCCCTATTAGCAACACAACCCACCTGCCTACATATCTTCTCCAAATACTTGAGGGCTAAATCTGATTTTTTTTCATCACACAAGCCTTTTATTAGAGCATTATATAGCATAATGCTGGGAGCACAATTGTTACCTGCCATGTCCTGGTCAACAACTTCCACCGCCTCATTGACTCGATGTTCTCTGAATAACGCAGCTACTTTAGCTTCATAAATTTCCACTGATGGTCTAAAGCCCTTATTACACATTTCGCTCAACACTTTGTTACCTTCATCAATCTTGCCTCCATTGTAATAATCAATTGCCATTGCCCTGTAACTCTCAGAACTTGGAATTAAGCCTTTGATTAAAGCGTCATTGATCAGTACCTTCAAACTATCTATATCTGCTTCGTCATAGCACTGAGTGAGATCAATTTGTTTGCGGTGTCTCTTAGGGGCCTTAAGACCTTTATGCAAGACCTTTGAAAGAATCTTAACTGCCTCATCAACATCCCCATTATCACACAATTCTTCCAAAAGTGTTCGATATATCAGAACATCCTCACCACTGCCCTTTTGTGAAACCCTCCAGAACATGGAGTACAATAAATGAATAGCCTCATTGAACCTCTTTTCTTGACATAGTCCGCTCATCAAAATCCTATAACTTCCCTTGTCCGGATAGCAGCTTTGGTAATTCATCTCTTGGAATATATGACAAGCAAGATCAGATCTTTTGATTCGACAAAGGGCACCCATCAGCAAATTCAAGGAAAAAGTCCGAGACTTCACTTCCCAGCAGCTTGAATTCTCAAGAAAGAGGTGATATGCAAGATCCAGCTTAGATTCTTCTATTAATATTTCCAACAGGGTATTGAACGATTGAGTCCAATTCACACAATTGAAGTTTCGAAGGCTTTTGAAGAGCAAAACAGCTTCATCAATCAATTTGGCTTTTGCATAGCTTTTAATAGCACTCACAAAGATTGAGTCATGGCACTGGCACGAATCTTCCTTCATCTGATTAATAACATGTTTCATCTCAGTCAGCCGACCAGAGCTTCCTAAAATGTTGATCAAGGCCGCATAAACAGAACCATTATGATGGTATTTTGGATATCTATATTTCGCTTCATTACAGATTTCAAGGGCTCTTAGTGGGTTCTTCTGGTTCTGAATGATCCGTGAGAGTTGTGTTGGTGTTAGAAGCCTTGGCCATCTTATTGTCATCTCAGCAACAACAAACCCGATTCTGAAACAAGTCAAAAGATACTCCCTACTATGAAACATAAAAGCAACAATATTTTCTTTAATTGGCAGCAAGCAACAAAGTAATTCAGGATTCAAAGTAGACACCATGTGCAATCCAATTCTAAAACAAGTTTAGAGCAGTGGTTATTTTGTATACGGCTAAAATTTAACTATTCAGAAGAAAAATTCAGTCAGAAATTTTTTCGAACAGTTTATGGGCATTCGCAGTTTAACAGAACACTTTGCACGTATGTATAAAGCAGTGCATCTAACTAACATTACCTCACTTCAACGGGTATCAGAAACTTTGCGTAAATGCTTGTGGGGAAGTAGAAATGCAGAGGACAATTTTGGATGTGAGGTAATATTCACTTTGAAAAAGAATAATCTTGCAGCCTTGCTGAGAGAGCGAGAGAAATCATCACTTATTTTTGTTTTCCGATCAACTATTCAGATGCTATAAAAATCTTGAAGTAAAAAATTGGTTAATTTAGTTCAAGAATCCAATCAATGATTCACATACTTAAAAAATCGCTATACGCTCTCGTTTTAAAAATAAAAAATAAAAAAAAAATTGTTTAATTTGTTTTTTTTTTTTTTTAATACTAAAATTCTTTCGGTTTCAAAATTTTTTTTTAAAATTTTTTTTTGAACCGCCGAATACACTAGCTACGCCTAACATATGAAATGGGTTCTTGCCTGAGTGGGAGCCTAATCGTTATGTTTTTTAAATAGGATTTCCTCCGCTTAATTGATAACCACGTAGGAATGTTTTTTTTAACCGTCCGAAGAAGTAATTGATTGAACCGTTGACATCAATTCCACGAACGCACACCTTTGGCGAATTTGATTCGCCGGAGAGATCCTTCAGCTTGGTCTAGATAATTATAAATTATAAATTATTTAATATTTTAATAGTTAATACTAAAATATTAAATATTAACCTAAAAACATGAGTTTGAAAGATTTTGAGTTATTTTGTTTAAAAATACATCATTTTGAATGAAATAATCTATTTAAAAAAAATAATAATAATAATAGTTAATCGACCGACTAGGCGGCCGCCGATTACGGTGATAATCTAAGCGGTTGACTTACGCTTAGAAGTAATTTTTGCAATACTTAATGATTAACTTTAATCATTGATTTATTTCAATAAATAAACTTTCAAGTTTGTGGCTTCTATTTATTAGTCTTTATAGGCCAAAAAAAAAAAAAAAAAAAAAAGTTCTGAAATAAACAAACGCCAACGAGGAACTATGTCACCCTTTGCCTAGCGACCCCCATAGCATCGGCCCGAAGGAGATCCCTCATCGATTCGTGGGGATCCAAGATATACACCGAACCTCAGGCTCCGCAAATTATGTTGTGCAACCGTTTGCAAAAACGACGTCGTTTTGACTAAAAACGTGCGTCCCACTTAAAAAAAATAATTCAGGTTTGATTCCCGGCAATAGCATTTTTTTGTGCATAATTTGAATTATATATCCACAAATTCATAACTATATATCCACAGTGAATGAATAACACAAAATCCAGAATGAATGAACTAAATATCCACAATGAATGAACTAAAAATCCACAATGAATGAACAACATAATGCTGTTGAGGGAATCGAAACTGAATTTTTTTTTAAAATGGGACGCGCGTTTTTAGTCAAAACGACGTCGTTTTGCAACCGTGTGCACCATGCATGGTGCACACGGTTGCACAACATAACTATTGCCTAGGCTCCATCCTGCCCAAGATTTGCAAGCATGTCAGCACAACTATGTTGCGTGTCTTCTAAATCCCCCAAAGTATCAGCGTAAAACGGGTACTCCATGCCATGACACATTATCCTTATCAAGATCCTTGTTGACACTATTATTGTATACTCAACAAGAAAGAGGCAACATAGGGATTAGAAACCATACATGTTTTTTGAGCAATTACAGTCGGGACCTCTTTCGCCAAGTTAATTTCGACTGGAGATCTTGCCACATGTGTCTCCGCTAAAGACTCATCCCCGCCATCAAGAAGGGGTTCGAACTTATTTCTAAAGTTCCCGAAAGGCTTCTCCGCAGTCACTCCCCTTCGATCTGGACGAATCACCACATCCACGATGTGGCTTCCTGTGTGCTAGCATCCATGGACCAAAACGACCCTCCTACTCAACGTGACATTCTAGTGCATCATGACCCTCCAGTCTACCATCCTCATCAGGAGTTGACATATATAACAGTATCGCTGGTGGGTTTCTTAGCCACTTGTAAAACACAACAAGTCTGAAGGTAGTGGCAGACTGGCAGCAACAAGCATTCATAACCTCAATTAAATTTTTAAAAATATTAAAAATTAAGATAAAAACTCAAGATCAATTGTTGATTAATCAAATGTTATTTCATTTCATCGCCTCCACTACTACTATGCAATATGCAAGGATGAGTCTCCTACTATGCTAGGAGGGAAACAAGGATAGGTGATAAAGTTTAAAAAATGAAAATTAGGAATTTAGGTAGGCCCTATGCCAAGTTGTAGGCCCCCTTCATAGAGAGACCTAGCCTATTTCCACCTATAACGACCAAGATGGAGAAACTCGCAGTGTGGGTGAGACTCTCTGGGCTGTCATTAGAATACTTCTGACGAAGTCATTAAAATCATTCTAGGCGATGTGGGAACCCCATTAAAACCCAATCGAACCACGCCTGTCGTGGAACATGGTCGCTTTGTTCGTGCGGCTATCGAGGTTGACCGGAGAAAACCATTAGTGTTTAAGATTTGGATCAAAAACCATATTTAGAGGGTGGAGTACGAGGGGTTACACGTGTGTTTTGAATGCGGATCATATGGTCACCGTTTCATCACGAACTGCTCTAAAGATGCTCTGGCCAGAGAGTGAGCAATCAATCACATTGCCTACACAGATACAATGAAGGATATCTACATCCACACCTCTCGACCAGTATACGAGCAGGCCCAGCCATAGGCAAGGGCAGGCTGGGCCCTTGCCCAGGGCCCCATGCTTGGAAGGGGTCCCTACCCTATACCATTACTCTTATATCTACTATACTAATAAGAGCTCAAGAGAGTTAGGCCTATAATGGGTAGAAAAAATGGCGCTCAAATTTTTTAATCAAATGAATGGCTCAGATTGATCAGATTTTAATTTTTCCTTAAGATTTCCTAATTTATCCTTAATGAATATGATTATCCGTTAACTTTTTCGTTAAATATTATCTTTTCCGTTAATTTCTGTTAGTTCACCGTTAACTTACTCATTGATTTCAATAAGAAAGGTCTTAGGTTCGAACACCATCCCAATTAAATTGGCATAATTAGTACTCTATTTTACTCTTATTAAATTAAACAATAATTTAGTAGCTAAAACAAAATTATGTAATTAAAATTAGCATAATTTAGTAATTAAAATTGGTAGTACTCTATTTATGCATTTCTTTAATTTAGAATTATGTGTCTACAATGTCTTTATTCAAAAAAAATTAGTCATTATCAATAAATTAAATAAGAGAAAATAATTTCATTAGTTATATTTTCTTTATTTTTTTCCAATATAAAAATTATTTACATTCAAATTCATCAATTGATTATATTCGCTACATTTTCTCTACAATGTCTTTATTAAAAAAAATTATTCATTATCAATAAATTCATTAAGAGAAATAATTTTATTAGTTATATTGTCTTTATATTTCTCCAATGTAAAAATTCTTTACATTCAAATTCATCAATTGATTATATCCACTACATTGTCTATTATCTTTTTTTTCTGCACTATTTTTTAATTAAATATCAAAGTTATAATACAAAATAATGATATATATATTTATTTACTAAGTATTTTATTAATATCATGAAAAAGTTAAAAAAATATATATAATTAATAAAGCCAATCATATTAACTACTTGAGAGATTTGTTGAAAAAGAGAGTATTCAAATCACACAACAAATTGAAGTGAGAACTACCTCGCAATGTCCTTGTTTGACAATCACCAGCTAGCGGATTATATTAGCGAATTTGACCAGCGAATTATATCAACGGTTGGTAAAAAGATATTTGAAAAAATTAGCTGTTTAGATTAACATGTAAAATGACCAAAAGGTATAATAATAATAATAATAATAATAATAATAATAATAATAATAATAATAATAATAATAATAATAATAATAATAATAATAATAACAATAATAATAACAATAATAATAATAATAATAAAAATAATAATGATAATGATAATGATAATGATAATGATAATGATAATGATAATGATAATGATAATAATAATGATAATAATAATGATAATAATAATAATAATAATAATAATAATAATAATAATAATAATAATAATAATAATAATAATTGTTTTTTAAAAAATAAAAAATATATTGTAGACACTTAAATTTTGATAAATATTGATTATTTATCAATATTAGTATATTTGAATATATTTGAAATATTTTGGATAATATTGATATTATCTAATTTGTTAATTAGATAATATCAAAAGAGTTTGAGCTTATCAAAACTCTCTATCCTACATCTATAAATAGGAGCTCTCATTTCTATGTAATCACACACATCCTAGGAAAAATCATAGAAAGAATTCTGAAGTTTATTCAGAGATCACAATAAAAATGTGATCCTGAAAGTAAAAGCCCCTCCTTCTCCATATGTTGATGCATGTTGATCCAAACCTCTATTGAAGATCAAGCCATTTGAACCCGGAGGCCCTTCAAGAAGAACAAGCTATATATATACAAGCCCTTCTTTGAAGATCAAGCCACTTGAAACCCGGAGGCCCTTCAATGGTGGAATGTTCAAGACATCAATTGAAGAATCAGAGGATCCTCCAGAGACTTGTACCCACACCGCAATGATACTTGACATGTAATTCAGAAATTTTGAATATTTCTAAATATAATTCAATTTAATTTGTTCACAAATTGGCACGCCCAGTGGGACAGCTCTGCCTCTCATCTCTTCATAGGCACTTTCAACCGATATGGGGGCAAACCCCATATGAAATTTGAAATGGAGGAGGCTAAATGATACTCCTTGGCACGAGTTAAAACGGCCTCATATCTTTCAAGGCTCCTTGACACGAGTTGAAACGGCCTTATATCTTTAAGTTATAGTGTCGAGACTTTCTTGCACTACATACTTTCAAGTTTTATATGCTCTCAAGTGGTGTCCAAGAAAGTCTCGAGGGGGCATTTGTAGACACTTAAATTTTGATAAATATTGATTATTTATCAATATTAGTATATTTGAATATATTTGAAATATTTTGGATAATATTGATATTATCTAATTTGTTAATTAGATAATATCAAAAGAGTTTGAGCTTATCAAAACTCTCTATCCTACAGCTATAAATAGGAGCTCTCATTTCTATGTAATCACACACATCCTAGGAAAAATCATAGAAAGAACTCTGAAGTTTATTCAGAGATCACAATAAAAATGTGATCCTGAAAGTAAAAGCCCCTCCTCCTCCATATGTTGATGCATGTTGATCCAAACCTCTATTGAAGATCAAGCCATTTGAACCCGGAGGCCCTTCAAGAAGAACAAGCTATATATATACAAGCCCTTCTTTGAAGATCAAGCCACTTGAAACCCGGAGGCCCTTCAATGGTGGAGTGTTCAAGACATCAATTGAAGAATCAGAGGATCCTCCAGAGACTTGTACCCACACCGCATTGATACTTCACATGTAATTCGGAATTTTGAATTTCTATATTTTAATTCAATTTTCTTTATTTACATATATAATTAAGTCAATCATATTAACCAAGTGGCTTGTGGTCTACTGGTATTGGATTGCTCCCTTATGTGGGAGGTTTAGGTTTTGAGCCTTGTTATACATAGTTTGTATGGGTATACCCTTTTCTTTGTAATAAAGTCAATCATATTAATTGTACTACTTGGGGGATTTATTTGTGGAAAACTACTTCGCGATATCCTTGTTTGGCAATCAACTGTTAGCTCTTCAATATTAGTATATGTTTAATATTTTATGCCCTAATTTTTATTTTCTCTCCCTTATGTCCCGTATTTGGTTTCAACCATACCTATAAAATTATTTTATTGACAATTATAATCAATATTGACTATATTATCTTGCATTTGTAAACTTTGAATTACCTATTTAAATACGCAAATTCAACATTCAGTTATCTATGCATGAACAATTTCAATATAATCTTGTCTTGATATACTTTAAAGTACTTATTTAAAAAAAAAAAAAAAAACATTGGGCATTATCCCAATCGCGCAATGCGCGTAAAAAACTAGTATACTATAGAAATGCGATATAATGATTTAGTATACATTTATGGTATTGGGTTTTGAGTGGGCTGGGCTTAGCATTTTAATCCGCATGGTTGTGGGATCGAATCCCCATATGTAATTTTACATAAAAATTTCCTCCTCTACTATTTAGTATATGAATTTAAGAATTTTAATACATTAAGATTTGAGTTGGTTGAGTTGGTAGGACTTGTAGTTTCTATGCTCATGATCGTCAATGGATCAAATCTCCTCATATATAACATTTCCCTAAAATTTATTTCTATTTCTAATTTGTGTTTTTCTAAATTTATTCCTACAATTTATTTATTTCTATTTTTAATTTGTATTTTTCTAAATTTAATTTGTAACTTTGTGATTTCTAACTATGATTTTGTAATTATAGTGAGATTTATAATATAGATTGATTTGTAATACATATCAAATTTTGAATCTATTTCTATTCGAGTAACTTACTACTGATATTTAGAATATTTTTTGTTTGGGAACATTATATGTAATATATTTTGTGATTTAGTTATGAAAAATATTTTAAAAGATAATTTAATTTTTGTGCGTCATCGTATTCAAATTAATCTAGAAAAACTTGAAAGTGATCTAACTAAAACAGAGTATTTATAAATATGATATCAATATATAGGATGTGTGATTTATTACATGTTTTTTGAGTTAATACCTAAAATCGTCCTCGACTATAGTGGTTTTTAGCAATTTCGTCCTAAACGACTTTGGTGACCTAATATCGTCCCAGACTTTTGTGTTTCGCTCAATTTAGTCCTCCATTTGTTATTCCGTCAAATTGGTGTTAAATTAAGGGACAATTCAGTAATATCAATATTGATCTCTCTTTACTTTCAACTTGTGAAGTGCGAAATTCCTCTTTCTTGTACGAATTACACCAAGAATTACTCCCGGACCTGCAAATCAAATTTTATATTCGCAATTTTAGGAGTAATTCTGGGAGTAATTCGTAAAAAAAAAGGGATTTCGCAGTTCACATGTTTATGAGTAAAGAGATGCCAATATTAAAATTACTGAATTGTGTATTTATTTAACACCAAATGGACATAATAACAAATGGATGGACTAAATTGAGCAAAAACACAAAAGTCTGGGACTAAATTGAGCGAAACACAAAAGTCTGGGACGATATTAGGTCACCAAAGTCATTTAAGACGAAATTGAGAAAAACCACTATAGTCGAGGACGATTTTGGGTATTAACTCCATGTTTTTTTATTCGAACTATTTTATCCAATTAATTATGTTTCATATTTTATTATGAATATCTTTTATCACGTTTGAGTGTTTTGATTTATTGTTCCCAATAATTAAGATTTTATGTTATGCTCTTAGTTGTAAGTTTTTTTTATATATAAATTTTTATTAATAATTACTTTATTATTTATTATAATAATAATGTGATTGTCTATAAGCTCATTTGGTTTTAAATTATTTATTCATTTTTATAAACTATATTATTTATTTATGAAAATACTGATGCAGTGATTGATTATTGTGGATTTAGGAATGCATCTATAATTGTTTTCACGTGTATGTAAAATTGTTAAAAACTTGTGAATCTTATTTAAGTTATTTGATATTAGTATTGTTTCCTTATTTAATTTAAATTTTAATTATAAAAATATATATTAATTTCGTATAGGGCCCATTTTTGTTGTTATGCCCCGGGCCTAAAGAATGATAGGACCGGACCTGTATACGAGTAAGTAACTAAGGGCAAAGAGTGAGCAATCAATCACATTGGCTATTATATTGTATTTTTTAATTTTTTAATTCACTCTAACATATTCATAGTATACATTTAACAATTATGTCAATTTTGATTGAGATTGAATTCGAACCTAATAAGACCTTATAAAAGTCAATGAGTAAGTTAAGAATCATATCATATCCTATATATATACACACACACACACAATAATAAAGCATAAACTTTTTGGAAAATAAAAATAGAAATAAATTTCCCGCTCAACTAAAATGCTGAGTTTAGAACATTATTAGGGGTACTAAAAAGTCTTCTCGGTTTGGTCATAAAAAAAAAAAAAGGCAACAGATTTTAAACTCTGCAAAATATGAAGAGGCAACACATTTAATAATTACATAGGTATTGTCAAATCAACTGTTAGTATTCCAAAAATATTTCCTCACCTGCCGATATTAAATTACTATCAATACAAAATTACAAATGCTATAAATCAAAGACATCACATCTATCTTCAGATTTTGCAGAGCTTTAGGCTGAAGTTAACCCTGCAAAGAACCCATTGAAAAAGTGAGGTGGCAAAGTGATGTATTTATATTTTTTTTCTTGCTTATTTGGATTGCCAATTTACAAGTAATGCAAATTGGCAATGAGTTTTACTAAATATACTTCCTAAATTTTATTTCCTTATGTGGCGGATTTTGATAAGTTATTTTTTCATGTGGATCCCAATACAAGTGTCTACATCAATGTTGTTGTGTATGAAAGTACAAATTGAGAGTACAAAATGGGAGTACATGTAGCATTTTTCATTGGCAATCCATTTGCATAGTACAAAGCTGCTGCAACAGCTTTGTACCTTTTTTTTGTAATTTTTTTTTATTTTATTTATATCCTTTTGTTTGTTTTCTTTTCTTTTCTATTTTATTTCTTTATTAATGTTCTAGAATGATGTGATATTGGGGTTCACTTTTAAAAGAAGATTAGATTTATATGGATGTAATGTAAATAGTAAATGATTTGCAAATTAGATGATGTGGAAGTTGGACTCATTTTTAAGGATGAGAGAGATTTACAGGGATAATGTTAGCCTTAGATGTATAAATGAATAAATGAATGGTGCGCCGCGGTCGCCGAACTCAAGGGCAACCGAAGGGAGCCAAACAATCCGACAAATTAAAATGCTTGGCTTTGTTGAGCTAGTCTGGGTTTTCACTGCTGGAATCCAACGAACTGATATGCTAGAACAAGGGAGCAGTTGGAGACATTGGCGGTCGCCGAGGGAAGCGGAGTGGCGCTCGCCGGTGGCACTTCTAGCAATCAAGGTGAGAGTATGAGAGACAGAGAAGTGAGAGTCAGAGGGTGAGAAGTTGAGAGGCTGAGAGTGTGAGATCAGAGGTTGAGAGTGTGAGAAGCGAGAGGGTGAGAGTCTCCTCTCGCTTTCTATTTGTATTTTTTCCTTATTTTTGTGATATGTTGTTCTAAACTTCTGATTCAGTTAGTCAAAACCTAAATACATTTGTTTTTTTCCAGAAAATTTTAGTTTTAAAACTATTTAGGAGCTTCTCTTTCAGTTTGAGATTAGGGTTTCTGCAACTGTTCAGCAATGGGGAAGGGAACGTGGAGCTTTGGAAAGAGGACAAACAAGACCCACACTCTCTGTGTGAGGTCTAGCTGTCGCAGTTTCCATCTCCAAAAGAGTCGCTGCTCGGCTTATGCTTACCCAGGCGTCTGCAAGAGGACATATAACTGGAGCATGAAGGCGATCCGTAGTAAGACCACTGGAACTGGCCGCATGAGGTATCTCTGCCATGTGCGTGTCGATTCTAGACCAACTTTAGAGAAGGTACAGTTTTACCGTTTCATTCTTATATTTAAAAATTAATGATGCATTTGACAGTCATTTCCAAGCTTCTGGGTGGAAAAAATTTGCCAATTGAAGTGACTTGATTGATTAGGTACTAAAGCAGCTCCAAGGAAGAAGGCAGCATCAGCTTCTGCTTGAAGTTCTTTGAGGGTGAATCTATGAAGGTTTAACTTTACCACCTACCTAGCTTTCTCTAGAGTATTAGTTGATACTACAATCAATATATTTTGGTGCTCAGTTCTAATGCTGTAGTATGATTAATTCCATATGTAATCTTACTTCTACAAAATAATTTGTAAGGAAATTCATATATATATATATATATATATATATATATATATATATATATATATATATATATATATATATATATAATATATTACAAATCTAGAAAAATATGCAGTGTTGAGTATTACTTACAAGTCTGCCCATCATTCTGTATATACTATACACAGGGCAATACTAAGTAAATTGTTACCAATAATTCATTATTAAGCGAAGTAAACTTAAAGAACTATATTGACACTTATCAGAAATTCAAAGGTTGGTACCCAAAAAATATTACAAATTTATACTTTAAACTATATAAGATTCATAGTTGGAAAATAATGATACAAAATATCAGAACTTGAAGACATATCTGATACATCATTTTACTCAAGGTAGTTATGATATATATGCAGCAACCTTTCAAATTCCAACACATTTAAATCTCAATGTAGTTAATAAATTATAGCTTAAAAAAAACTCAAAAATATATTAGAGACTAATACAGCTCTATTGTGTATTTACACTTGGACGGGAAAAATTTGGCTCTATTGTGAATCCCTAGGTGTGTGGCTATTTTATATAGTAAGATAAGATTACATATAGAAACGATAATATATAAAATTTATATTATTTTTAATTTATATATGGCGTTTGTTAAAAATTTATAATTTTGTATATAAATTACAAAGTAAATATTTAAAATACTATAAGTAATGCTTTGTACCGGTATTTTTATTTTTTTTGAAGAGTACCGGTATTTTTATATGTAGTTAGTTACTATTAGAACACAAAATTTGTTCAAAATGTATAATATTGTAATTGTTTTCCTTTGCAGTGATCTGTATTGAACATTAAATGATCAATTGTTAAATAATTAATGTAATTAGATCAAATACATTTTAATCACTTTGTTTTTGCAGAAAATAAAATTCTGTCAAGTATTAAGATAAGTAGAGGTTTAAACGACAAACGACAAATTACATTGTTGTTTACCATGAAGTATTTAATAATATTTAATATTTGTTATTTAAATCTACAATCTACAAATCTAATAATAGTCAAGAGTAAATACCTAAAATGGTCCCTCGACTATAGCTAAATTCACAAATTGGTCATTGACTTTCAATTTTAACCAATTAAGTCCTTAACTTTAGGGATGGCAACGGGGCGGGGCGGGGGCGGGGAGTATACTCCCGTCCCCGTCCCCATCCCCGTCCCCGACGGGGAATTGAAAATACTCCCCATCCCCGTCCCCGCGGGAAATTAAGCGGGGACGGGAATTCCCCATTCCCCGTCAACTTCTAGTCAAAATGTTAAATAATTGTAAATTTTAATAATAAAAAAATTTAAAATTTAACTTCTGTTTCAAAATTTAAAATACTAAGTATATACATATATAGAGAGTATATATACTGCCTAATATAGACAGTACATTAATTATTTACTAAACTTGTATTATTATTATATATATAAACATACAATACGTTGTACAGTGGCGACATAGTTATATATAGAGTTAATACCCAAAATCGTCCTCGACTATAGTGGTTTTTCTCAATTTCGTCCTAAACGACTTTGGTGACCTAATATCGTCCCAGACTTTTGTGTTTCGCTCAATTTAGTCCTAGACTTTTGTGTTTTTGCTCAATTTAGTCCCTAATTTGTTATTCTGTCCATTTGGTGTTAAATAAATAGACAACTCAGTAATTTTAAGATTAGCATCTCTTTACTCATAGACATGTGAACTGCGAAATTTTTTTTTTTTTTTTTACAAATTACTCCCAGAATTACTCCTAAAACTGCGAATATAAAATTTGATTTGCAGGTCCGGGAGTAATTCTGGGTGTAATTCGTACAAGAAAGAGGAATTTCGCACTTCACAAGTTGAAAGTAAAGAGAGACCAATATTGACATTACTGAATTGTCCCTTAATTTAACACCAATTTGACGGAATAACAAATGGAGGACTAAATTGAGCGAAACACAAAAGTCTGGGACGATATTAGGTCACCAAAGTCGTTTAGGACGAAATTGAGAAAAACCACTATAGTCGAGGACGATTTTGGGTATTAACTCGTTATATATATATATATATATATATATATATATATATATATATATATATATATATATATATATATATATAATACAATGCATTAATTAATTACTACCACTTATATTAGTTATACATACAGTACAGTGGCGACATAATTATAGTTATATATAATTGTTTGGGGACGGGGCGGGGCGGGGCGGGGAGGGGTATCCCCATCCCCGTCCCCGTCCCCGACGGGGAATCACATATATTCCCCGTCCCCGTCCCCGTTCCCCGAAAAATTTCCCCATCCCCGTCTCTATCGGGGCGGGGAACGGGGATCCCCGTCGGGTGCGGGGCACATTGCCATCCCTACTTAACTTTGCAATTTTGACACGATTTGGTCCTCCATCTATTTGACCATTTGTTGACCGTGATCGACGATTTCCAAAAGAACCTTCAGTTCTCGTCGGAGCATGTGGAGGCCTCCAGGATGACGTTGCACCGGTTCGGAAACACGTCGTCTTCTTCGCTCTGGTACGAACTCAACTACATTGAATCCAAAGGGAGGATGAAGAAAGGCGACCGGATTTGGTAGATTGCTTTCGGCAATGGATTAAAATGTAACAGTGCAGTCTGGAAATGCAACCGGAACCTTAAAAACTCGACGATGGACCATGAAATTACATATATATCCTCAAAAATCACAGTCAACAAACAGTCAAATAGACAGAGTACCAAATTGTGTTAAAATTGCAAAGTTAAGGACTTAATTGGTTAAAATTGAAAGTCGAGGACCAATTTGTGAATTTAGCTATAGTCGAGGGACCATTTTGGGTATTTACTCAATAGTCAATAATGTTAGGCCTTTAACTTGAACCAAAAAAATGTCGGTAGTAGTTGTTTCTTAAAATGAATGGTTCATATTATTTTGATTTTAGTATTTTTTTAAATAATTTTTCTTATTTACCCTCTATTATATTATTTTCTTCCCTTAAATAACCCTAAACTCCGCTAGTATAAACTTTAGTAACAGAATATTCCGTTAACTATTTATTATTCTTAACATACTCATTAACTTATATAACAAAGGTCTTAGGTTCGAACCCAATCCCAATTAGAGTTGACATAATTGTTAAACATATATTATGAATATGTTAAAATGTATCAAAAAAAAAAAAATATAATATAAAATTTAACATAAACTTTGATCAAATAGTTAGTCCGATTAAATACATAGCATTCAAAGTTGAGCATCAAAGATTATAAATCAGGAACTTTAAAAATCATTTGATTTTCTTAATTTTTTTTTTTAAAAAAAAAACAAATTTAGGTTAAGTTTTTTTTTTATGCGTTTAATTAATCCTCTTTTTATTATTTAGAACAAAACTTAATATTTCAATTATGCTTTTGCATTATCGGAATGATTTAGGTCATTGTGGTATTAATATTCTTTGTATTTTTTTTTATAATGGTACAATTGTACATTACTTTACAAATATTATACTATTATTTTTTTTTATTTGAAAAAATTGTTCTTACATCATTGTTAGACCTACGCGCGGCCTAACTACAAAGTTGTTGATCATAAATACAATTACACATGGACTCTAAAACCAGTAAAACGGTAGAACCATTTTCCAAATAATTGACAATGTTAACATTCTACTAGCTCCAATTGAACAAGTTTACACATCATAATTTTATAAATGCATGAAAACTTCTAAAGAAATTTGTAAGTTAATTTTTACTATATCATTATAGCAATATCTATTGTAACTATATATTTTGAATTATTTATTATCATCCTCTATTGACAGCAATTGTAGCAATTATCATTGACAAACTCTCAAAATAATTTGTCTCAACAAGGAATGGAAATTTAAAAAAATCATTGATTTCATTATTGTTGATGAAAAGTATGTACGACACTTTATTACTCTTATTAAATTAAATAAATTAGTAGCTACAACAAAAAATAATACATATGCATTTAATTAATTTAGAATTAGATGTCTATAATGCTTTATTTAAAAAAAATTATTCATTATAAAAAAATTTAAAAGAAATATAATTTCATTAGTTATATTATCTTTATTTTTTACAATTCAAAGATTCCGTACCTTCAAATTTATTAATTTATTATATTCACTACATTGTCCATTGTCTTCTTTTTACATTATCTTGTAATTAAATATCAAAGTTATGGTTTCAAAAAAATATCAAAGTTATAATATAAAACATGTTATATATATTTATTTACCAAATATTTTATACAAATATAATAAATATTAATATTTTGTTCATCAATACTCTCACATGATAACCTACGACACACATCTCACAACACATGAAACATGTAGGGGAAAAACTACCACTATTAAATATTAATAGGTGTTTGTAAGATAAAGAGTTCATATTACAACTAAAATCTCAGTCATATACATAGCAAGACAAATCTAAAACTTCCTACACCATAATCCCATTGCATGATGAATCCCCTCTATACTGCCACCAGTAACCTGATTGCATATAACACACTACCAATAATAAAAAAAAAAAAAATAGAGGACATGTACAGAAGATGAAAACAATGACAATGCTATCCAAAAGAGAATTAAGAAGAATTAGAGAAATTTAAACCAAAAGTAGTATTTATTTAGACTATCGCTTTATGACTAAGTATTTAGACTAGCGTTATTACAAAGTTGCAAACATTTATTTTAGTGACAATTATAATCATTCTCTCATATATTATTTTGAATGAGTTAATACCATCCGAGGTCCTCCGAGTATAGTGGTTTTGCCACGTTTAGTCCTAAACTTTCAAATTGACCATCTGTGGTCCTTCGACTTTCAAATTTAACCATCCGTGGTCCAAGTTAACCACCCATGGTCCTTCAACTATTAAATTTTAACCAACCATGGTCCTTTTAAGAGGACCACGACTGGTTAAATTTTGAAACTTGAAGGACCATGGGTGGTTAACTTGGACCACGAATGGTTAAATTTGAAAGTCGAAGGACCACAAATGGTCAATTTGAAAGTTTAGGACTAAACGTGGCAAAACCACTATACTCGGAGGACCTCAGATGGTATTAACTCTATTTTGAATTTATATACTTTAAATTACCGATTTAAATAAACAAATTCAACATTTATTTACCTATGCATAAACATCTCCAATATAATATTGCATTGATATACTATGAAATACTTATTTAAAAATAATCATTGAGCATTATCCCATTCACGCAAAGCATGTAAAAATACTAGTAATGTAATATAGAATGCCAGCTAGTAGTGTTTTTTTTTTATTCATTAAGATCTTCTTCATATTCTCTTTTGTTCTTCAAATATATTCAACTTAATTGGTGTGTAATAAATAAATTCATTTTGGATAATTGAAATGCTACAAACAAATTTTCAAATCTTATTCGTGCATCGCACGAGACAATTACTAGTATAATAATAAATAGTTAAGAGAATATTTCGTTACTATAGAATGTATGGAAAAATAGTTAACAGAATATTTTATTACTACAGAATGTCAGAATGTATGGGTATTTAGAAAAAATAAATGATATGATAGAGGGTAAAGTAAAAAAAATTTTTAAAAAAAATTACTAAATCAAAATAATATGAACCGTCGATTTCAACAAATTTACACCAACATTTTTTTAGTTCCCATTAAGAACCTAACTTTATTGGATCTTATTTTGTTTGTGGATGTAGAGACAAAAGATAATATGATTTTACCATGTTATTAAATTTTAATACAACAATGCTTTGTAAGCGATCATTTCAACATAAGTACTCAATCTCCACAACCAATGGCAGAATAGAGACAAGTAATGAATTCCAACCATAGTTTAGTGGCATAAGTGTTAGACTATCAAAAGAAAATCACAAGTTCAATTGTCACACATACAATGGTAGATAAAAACACAATTCTGGGAACCATGATTTTTCTAAGTTACAACGAAGACCATATCAAATTATTGAGTACAAGTAAACTTGTTTACGGTTTCATATACCATAACCTGCAAAATGTAGGTAAATAGAAGCCAACTTGTAAGCCATATATGAAGTACACAAAATCTATCTTCCTAATAGTGCAACACGATCCTTCTGTACTGCCTGTGACAAGTTGATGTCGAAGAGCTCACATCGAATCGGAATCTCCATTTCGTAGAAAGGATTCTTCAAAACGGTATACAATTCGTAGATATATTTTAAGAGCCGTTTCTTTTTGTCAAAAAAACAAAAAAAAAGTGAGTATCATTTTACATAAACTATTGTTGCTCAAACTAAAAGAGTTACGAGAAAACATCTCTGTTGAGATATCATTTCTAGCAAAGGTACTCAAAATCATAGGTTGCAGGTTTATGGTTTGCAAGGAGAAGCTTTGTTGGATGCACAAAACGTCCCTTCACACACTACTGGAAATTCTGAAATTTTCAACCACATAAAAGTGATCTTAAAAAGTCTCATCTTTTGAGATTTTTTTTTTCTTTCTTTCTTTCCTTTTTTTTTTTTTTTTTTTTTTTTTTACTTGAGTAATGAGGTACCTGACACCAATTATAGGTCATTGCCGAGGGGATTCTGATATCAATAATGAGGTACAGTACGTGGTTAGTTAAGTAAGTTAACTCTAGCACTGTTATTTAGTTTCACATAATTCTTTTTCAATAAAATGCCCACATGCAAGCCTAAGAGCAAAGTTCAAAATTTTAGCTGCATTAAAGCCTTCAGATTTCGGACACAATAATTAATCCCCTCACTAAATTGCTCCATTTCCAAATTTCAAAGCTAAGAATTGAACTCTTGACCTTTGGTTAAGAATGGATGAGTCCCATTCGACTCAACCACAACTTCCAGGTTATTATGCAGTATCTAAAATAAAAACATAATAAGTCTCAATCAAAGTTATATCCCTCATTTATGTGGTCAAAGTACCTGCTAGGTTCCTGTACTGTAGCATTTTGTTCAATTTAGTCCCTGTACCTTAATTTTGGTCAATTTAATCCCTGTACTTTAAGATTTAGAACAATTAAGGACAATACTTAACACCGTTAACTTTTTTCGTTAAATTTGTCCACGTGGCGTTGGATTTGCCATGTCAGATTGTTTGATGTGGCATTGCCATGTCAAATTCTGTGATGTGGCATAAAACAATATATTTTTCGAACTAAAAAAGAGTAAGTTTCGAACCCATGACCTTTAAGCTAGAAAATGAAAACTCCACCACAAAGCTATACATTAATCCTGTTATATAATAGTTAAAATTTGTAATAATAGTAATTTGTCTACACGTGGGCACCAAGTTCTCCACCACCAAGCTGTCCAGCAAAACGCATAAATTTTTTCACTAGAAAGCAAAATAATAATAATAATAATAAATAAATAAATAAATAAATAATTTGTCTTACTATTTAAGATGTTATGCTCTCAACACCTTGTCAAACAGTCATTTTTAGCCCATAAATTGTGTAAAAGTTCATGATTTTATTTATTTATTTATTTGCTTTCTAGTGCAAAAATTTATGCGTTTTGCAGGACAGCTTGGTAGTGGAGAACTTGGTGCCCACGTGTAGACAAATTACTATTATTACAAATTTTAACTATTATATAACAAGATTAATGTATAGCTTGGTGGTGGAGTCTTCATTTTCTAGCCTAAAGGTCATGGGTTCAAAACTTACTCTTTTTAGTTTGAAAAATATATTGTTTTATGCCACGTCACAGAATTTGACATGGCAATGCCACATCACACAATCTGACATGGAAAATCCAACGCCATGTGGACAAACTTAACGGAAAAAGTTAACGGTGTTAAGTATTGTCCTTAATTGTTCTAAATCTTAAAGTATAGGGATTAAATTGAACAAAATTAAGGTACATGGACTAAATTGAACAAAATGCTACAGTACAGGGACCTAGCATGTACTTTGACCCATTTATGTCCATGTTTTTAATGCTAATCATTTTGTACATTGTGCTTTTAGAGTTGTACAATATAATTTTTTGGACAAAAATACCCCTACCGTTATAACTTCCGTTATCTTTTTCATTATTGTTAGGGCATGCATCCACCATATATTTTCTTATATTCTTTAATGATAATAACATTTGTAAACATTATATTGGATTATTATAATAAATAAATTTAATTTCATATAATTTTAATTAGTAGAAATTTGTTAGTTATTTTTAAAAATATAAATATTGGACATATGTTTTTGCGTCGCGCATAGAAAAAACTAGTTCAATAATACGTATTAACCATAAGTCACACATTTAGTCCAAAACAACTTTCAAAGATGTCAGAGCATTAGCAACAAATCCAAAAGGCTCATATCCCATAAACCTTAGACAAACAAGGTAAGGAAAAATACGAGTTAATACCATCTAAGGACCTTCGAGTATAATGGTTTTGCCACGTTTAGTCCTAAGCTTTCAAATTTACCATTTGTGGTCCTTCGACTTTCAAATTTAACCATTCGTGGTCCTAGTTCACCACCCATGGTCCTTCAAGTTTCGAAATATAACCAGTCGCGGTCCTCTTGAAAGGACCATGGTTGGTTAAAATTTGATAGTTGAAGGACCATGAGTGGTTAACTTGGACCACGAATGGTTAAATTTGAAAGTCGAAGGACCACAGATGGTCAATTTGAAAGTTTAGGACTAAACGTGACAAAACCACTATACTCGGAGGACCTCAGATGGTATTAACTCGGAAAAATACTAAGTGGATGTTTGGTTCATGGAAAATGTTTTCCAAAGGAAAGCATTTTCCTTAAAGCGAAGGAAAATGTTGTTTTCTAGTGTTTGGTTCATGGAATTCATTTTTCATTGGAAAATGAATTCTTCAAATTTGAGGAAAACAAAATCCTTGGTTGGACCAAGGATTTTGTTTTTCATGGAAGATGGGAAGAAAAAGTGAATAGATTGCCTATTTTACCCTTGCTTTCTTTTTTAATTATATTACTTTTATTAATTTGTAGGGGCATATGTAGGTCTTTATATTCATTATTCCTTATCATTCCAAATCTAACCAAACAATAGAATTAGTATTTCCAGAAATTCTTTTTCCACCAATTAAATAATGGAATTTACCTTCCTAGTAATTGTTTTTCCATGAAATTCTAATTCCACTTCCCTTAAAATATTTTCCACGAACCAAACGAGCCCTAAGAGAAAATATAAGGTGAGGGAAATTTGTGGGAACTGACATGAGAGAATTTAAGAGGACAGAAATATTTGCTAATGAACGTACCCATATTGTGTAAATTGATCATTTTACCAACACACTTCATCAATCAAATAATAGTGTCACTTTTCCCCTCCCGCCTATCTCATGTCAACAAAAAATTAAAAATGTAAAATCAACTATAAGAACTCACAGGGCGTTTGGTTGGAAGGTGAGAATTAGGAGGGAAAGGAATTGTAACTCCGTGGGAAAAGAATAAGGTGAAATTCAAATTACATTTTTTTGATAAGCAGGAATAGAATAGAATGGTTGGGAATTGAAAAGAAAGAAGTGAATAAAGACTAAAATATAATTGTATAATAATAATAACAAGGGCAAAATAGTAATTCACTATGGAATTAACGTTTAATGGTCCAAGGGAATTGCAATTTCACGGAATGAATAAGAAAATTTTCTTACATTTGAGGTTAGTTTCATTTCACTAGTAGCATCACCTTGACTTGTATGTAAATAAACAATAAATGAATTAAAATGCAGAATGGGGTAACAACCTTTTCTTAATTGAAACAAGTCAAAATTGATTCATATATATAGCACAGATCATCACCAACCAATATCCATCTCTGTGCAATAAAATAGTTAAGGTGTCACACAATTACTCATTAATGGAAACTATAATGAGCAGAGAATTGCAACAAGAAAGCTGTAACAAGCAAGATCACCCTAACTAAAGCCGCATGCACCACATTCCATAGTTATCCATAAAAACTTAGTGGGTACGGGTAGATAATCAACACACTTTTCCGAATATGAAGCTACAGGCAATGAATGGATATACAAAGAGGTGATGTACTTGAAGCTTATATAGTGTTGCAGAGGGGAATCTGAATATCCAAAGGGTACTGTCAAAAATTAATAAAATCACAACCCGAATCGATTAGGGTAATGCAAACCTTTCACCAAAAACTAAGGATATCCTTCGCTTATATCCTTGTCACGAAGCAAAGATTTTTGTATTAGAGGAAGGATGATAATGTAAAGGGGCATAAATGTATTTTCATATCTTTTGTCTGTTGTAACTGCCACCATGGTATTTAAGTGGCAGTCTTCCTTTTCTTTGTAAGTCAACCAGATACACTTTTTCCTTTCCAGATGAATAACAGAACAAAGCTTTCCTCACCTGTTCTCTGCTTGTGACTTTACTTCCGATATGGTATCAGAGCTACGGCCGAGCTCGTACCTCGGCGCCGTGACCGGTGAGACAAGCCAAGAAGGACATGCAACGACACCAGTAGCTGGATCGCCGATTCGCACGTCCTCGACAACAACGCCGCAGAGGCATCTCAATCCACAGAGGAGATTTGCAATGGAAGACATAGAGGATCCATACTTCCTAAGCGCAAATGAAAATCCGTCTACGATTTTGGTCAGTCCGCCTCTAATTGGAAGCTCTAGCTATGCTTCCTGGTGCATTTCGATGAAAATCACCTTAGAAGTCAAAAACAAATGGTGTCTCATCGACGGCAGTCTTCCGGCACCGAACAGAGAAAGCAGCCGCTACGGAGCTTGGAGGCGTTGCAGTTTAATGGTGTGTTCGTGGATTTTCAAATCGGTACATTCTTCGATCGCTCAATCCATCATGCATTTGGACAAGGCAGCAGACGTCTGGGAGGATTTGAGAAGGCGATTCGCGCAATGTGACGCTCAGAAAATCTCCGCGCTACAAAGTGAGATCTACGGCTTAAAACAAGGTACTCTCTCTGTAAGTGACTATTATACTAAATGCAGAACTATGTGGGAACAGATGAATGCTTTAAGACCTATTCCTGTGTGCAAATGTGATCCGAAATGTGATCTCATTAGCGTAATTAGAAAAGAACGAGAAGTCGATCAGGTTATACGATTTCTTGAAGGGTTGAATGATGAGTATAATAGTCTGAAGTCTAATGTTCTTGTGCTTGAGCCACTGCCGGAAGTATACAAGATCTTTGTAATGGCAGAAAAAGTAGAGAGACAAATCAGTGTGTCGAACCTGAGCTTGAATAATGTGGAAATTAGCCAAGCCAATGCCATCCATAATACTCACTGTTCTACAGAAGAAATTGTTGCTGCTATGAACACTTATAATGGAAATGGAAAAAAGTATGTGAACAATGGAAGCAACAAGCCTAAGTGTACTTTCTGCGGGATGTCGGGGCACACCATTGACAAGTGCTATAAAAAGCACGGTTATCCCCCCCGGATGGGTGCCCGGTTACAAGTCTAAAATGAAGCAACAGAGTGCTGCACCTGTGATAAGTAATACAGCTGATTTGGGGATCTCTAATGATCAGTTCCAGAAGTTAATTATGGCTTTACAAAGTCAGATGGCACAATCTGCTGGTTCCAGTACTACAGCTGCTGTCTCATTGGCTCCAAAAT